GCACCTAGTGGCCAGAACTGGTAGCTCACACTATTGGAACAGGGATATATTTGGCCACTGTGCCACAAAAACCAACCACACCAGTGCGTGATAAATCTTAAAACAAACAAACCTACAGCATGTCCAGAAACTACTAAGATTCTTCTTTTGGACTATTAAGGTCCTGAAGGTAAGGACAGGTAGAGACCTAGAATAGTTGTTTTTAAAATTAAATTACCTTTACTTTTTTTTAGGTTTAAATGTTGACTCCACAGTGGGTCCGGGGATATAGCTCAGTGCCACTCCACCTGCCTGGCAAATGCAAGGTCCTGAGTTCAACCTCCCGTATCCCCCCCCAAAAAATGTTGACTCCACAGAGATGACCACTGTTGACATTTTATGTCAGTGGGAAAGAAGGGGGCTGAGGATTAAATCCAGGGCCTTGTTGTGCATGTGAAGCACGAATTCTACCACTGAGCTACACTCAGCCAATATGAATTATTTTTACAATACAATATAAGTCCTAAGGGTAGAAAAGCAACACCATCAGAAAGTCCAGCATCTTTCATATATCGTGTCCTTGCCCTCATACCAAACCAGATTGGAAAAAGTAAAATATAAAATAAAAACAGCTCAAAAAGTATTACGGGTGAACTCTACCTAACAAATATGTAAGAAGAAACCAACTCTACACAACTCTTTCAGAAAAGAGAAGACTGAACAATTTCCCATCTCATATTAAACCAAAAATATAACAAAAAACCACCTTTATAAATATGGATGCAAAAATTTTAAACAGAAGTTTAGCTTCCAGAGTTCAACAATTCATTAAAAAGGATATCCTCAGGGCCGGGGCTCAGTGGTTCCACTGCCTGACTCGCAAGTGCAAGGTCCCGAGTTCCATCCCTGGTACCAAAAAAATAATAATAAAAAATAAAATAAAAAGGATATTCTCACCAAATATCCCAGGAATACAAGGTTAGTTTTGCATTGAAAACTTAATCAATGTACTTTACCAAATTACCAGACTAACAGGAAAAAGAATGATCATCTCATCTTAGTAGATTTAAAGATGAAATAATGGCCAGCTATGCTGGCACAGGTCTCTAACCCCAGCTACTCAGGAGGCTGAGGCAAGAGGATCTCAGGTTCAGGGCCAACCTGGGCAACTTAACAAGACTCTGTCTCAAAAGAAAAAATGAAAAGGGCTGGGGATGCACCACAGTGGTAGAGCAAACCTGAGTCTGATCCCCAGATCCCAAGTACCACAAAAAAAAAAAATCAAAACAAAAGCAGAAATGACGCAGAATGAATGAAGACCGAAACAAGAGTGCAAGTGGTATGGTTATATTTATTGTTTTTGTTTTTGTTTTTTTGGTACTGGGGATCTAACTCAGGACCTTGCGCTTGCGAGGCAGGTGCCAGAACCACTGAGCTAAATCCCTGGCCCGATATGGTTCTATCTAAATAAAATTCTACAAAATTTGGACTGAGAGGCAAAGGAAAGAGAGGAGAAAAGAGAAGGGGAGAGATTACAGAGGAGCACAAGGAAATCTGGTTGAGACAGATCTGTTTATTACCTTGATTGCAGTCCTTGTTTCACAGACATGTTTATGCCAAGACTCATCAAACTGTACACTTAAAATTATGTGCAGTTTATTGTATGTCAACTGCACCTCAATCAACTGTAAATAACAATAGCAATGAAAAGTACTCATACAAGGGCCAGGGATGCAGCTCGGTGCCCCCACACCTGCCTGGCAAGCATAAGGTCCTGAGTTCAATCCCCAGTACCACAAAAAATAAAAGAAAAAAGAAAAGCACTTACACAGTTCATATATAACCTAGGAGTTGGGTGAATAATCTAATTTCTTAGGATATTTTACTAAAGTGAAGAAATCAAGATGGTAATGCCAACAAGATGGTATATTGCCGACCGCAAGGATCAGAAGGAATACGAGAGGAAAATATTCCTAATGTCCCCAGGGCCAGGGATTTACCTCAGTGGTTCTGGCGCCTGCCTCTCAAGCTGAGGACCTGAGTTCAATCTCCGGTACCAAAAAAAAAAAAAAATCCTAACACAGTGAAGTTAGTAGAAAGGAAGTCTCTTGATAATCTAATGTGAGTTCAGGTCCTATAGCTCCCCAAGAAGACAGACTGAGACAAAGCAGTTAGAATATCATAAATTCACCACATATGGTGGTACCTACCTAAAATCCCAGCACCCTGGGAGGCTGAGGCAAGATTGCAAGTTGGAGCCCAACCTGGCCAACTTAGCAACTTAGTGAGACCCTGTCTCAAAACTTAATTTTAAAAGGGTCAGAGTATGTATCAGGATGTAGCTCAGTGCAAAGACTTTGAGCTCAACCATAAATTCCTATGAAGTGATGCTTTCAAGCCTTTTCATATGCGTGTATATACACACAGGTATATATTTGTATATGTATATTTACATGCATGTTACACATATAAACTTCTTAGATATGTATATATGTGTATACATAATCTTATATAAAAATAGAATCATTCTACATAATTCTAAACATGCCTAATAGTCTTTTCCCTCCCTCTTAATACTGACTTTCTTTTGAGACACGGTCTCACTACTTTGCTCAGGCTGGCCTTAAACTGGACTCAAGCAATCCTCCTGCCTCAGCCTCCCAGATAGCTAGGACTACAGACACACACTGTGCACCTGGTGACAATTTTTTGTTAACATATATAAATCATTACTTTTCGATTGCATAGTTTTATATAGATGCAGCAGAATTTAGTTAACTATAACCCTACTGATACTTATTTATATTTCCCTTTTTTAATGATCAGCAATGTGTGAGGAGTACCAATGTGCACATGCCTTTGCCAGTCGGTCCTGAGATAACTTCAGAACACTGACATGGAATTTTTAAGTCAGGGTCTTGACTTGAGTTTTGATAAATACTGAGCTCCAAAAAGGTTCTATGAATTTACATTCCACTAGCAAAAAGTGACGGCATCCATTTCATCACAGACTCTCCAACACTGAGTGTAATTAATAGCTTTAATCATCTCTGCCCTAATACAATTTTTCTTTTTTCCTTGCACTTGCCAGGCAGGCATGGTGCCACTGAAATAAATCCTGGCCCCTTTCAGTTTTTCTTTTATTAGTGAGGTCAAATCTCTTATGTGTAGTAAAGATAATAAAATACTATATAGTATGGAGCTGCCAGGGGAATAAATAAGACAACAGAACAGATCTGCTCAGAAACAGATCAACACGGGCTGGGGATTTAGCTTAGGGGTTCCACCGCCTGCCTGGAAAGTGCAAGGACCGGAGTTTGATGCCCGGTACAAAAAAAAAAAAAAAAAAAACCACAAATAGAATCTGACTAAATTGTGGCAGCACTATTGTTTTAGCACTTGGTAGGCTACTGATAGTGATTACATTTCTTTTCATTCGTTTCTATTTGTTTTTCTTTATTCTTTCAGATGAACATATTCATTTTGTCAAATGCTAAGAAAAAAGCCCGTATTTCTGCAGGAACTAATTACTGCAGAAATGAAGCAGGAAAATGAAATTTTCATGTTTAATCTTACCATTCAGAATGTTCTCTTTTTAAAATTATTAATAAATTCTATTATCCTTTGTATTGTTATGAATGTAAAATTCCTATACGAATTTTATCAGTTATGGCTTATATATAGAATACTATCGCTATTATATATTTTTCTTTGTTGAACTCATCATCTTAATAGTTTCTTGGCTAACTTTAGGTTTATAGGTATTACAATGATCACATGTGCAAATGGTGATTTATATTTTTGTTTATCTATGTTAATTTTGTGTTTGTCACTGGGGCTTAAACTCTCGACCTCTGAACTACTTCCACAGGCCTTTGTATTTTCTTTCTTTCTTTATTTTTTAGTTATTTGAGACAAGGTTTATGATTTATGTAGTTTAGGCTGGCCTTGAACTCACTATGTAGCCCCGGCTGGCCTCAAACTTGCAGAGCCTCCCGAGTGCTGGGATTATGGGCACGCACCACCACATTTAGCTGGCTCTTTTATTTTTTTTGAGACAAGGTCTTGCTAAATCGCTAAACACCCAAGCTGGGCTCGAATTTGCGATCCTCTTGCCTCAAGCTCCCAAATGCCAGGATTACACGCGTGCGCCACCATGCCCGGCTCTATTTTATTTTTATGTATTCGTTTTAATTTTCTAAAATTTATAACTTATTAACGCTCTATGTTTTGCACCGGACAGAGCTACGACATCCTCCAGTACTGGCTGGCGACTCTGGATTTTTTTTTTTTTCTTAATAGAATCAACAGGATTTGGGCGGGTGGAAAGGCGATGGAAAGCGCATTACAAGGCAGGAGTCCGGGAAGGCAGCTCGTCGCCCGCCAGTGAGGAGCGGGCGCTGGGAGTGGAGATTTTGGAAGCCGCGGTGGGAGATCTAGTTTCAAGCCAATAAGGAAGTCCTTTTGACTGGCTCTTCGGGAAGCGCTAAGGACCCGCTGGGCTCACCCCGAAGCTGCCGAGCCTCGCGACCAGCTCGCGCCGCGCTCTCACCTGCGCCTGGATGCTCAGTGACACGCAGCCGGACGACAGCCGGTACCGGCGCAGCAGCCCCAGGCACTTGGCCAGGTGCTCCTCCCCCGCCGACAGCTCCTCCGTGTCGATGTGGTTCACCCCGAGGTGGAACTCGATGACCGCCAGCCTCACCACGCGCTGCGCGCCCGGGCCCTCGGCCTCCACCGCTTCGGCCGGCGGCCCCAGGGCGCGGTCCCCGGAGCCCAAGCCTTCGTCGGCCTGAGGCCGCTCATCGTCGTCCTCGGGCGCGGGGCCAAGCAGTGCCTTGACCTCTTCCAGTAGCGCCCGGGCGCTGTATTTCGACTTGTACGGCTCCTTCTCCGGGTTTTTATGCAGTTCCACCCGCGACAAGGTCAGCGACGCCTGGAATTTCTCACGGACCTCGGCGCTTGGAGCGCTCGCCATAACGGCCCCCACAGCTTGGGCTGTCTCACTGCTTGCAGTCCAGACTCCCGCCCTCCTACTTTGCGACACTTTCACTTACGGCCCCCCGGAATGTAACCAATAAAATCCACCAAGGTAACTGCAATATGCTCTGCAGCGACCAATAGAAAGATGGGCTGGTCACCATAGCAACTGTAGCCATGGAAGCGATGCTGTCAATCAGTATCCCCCACCTCCAGTGTCACCCCTCCCAGTGTCTCTTGCATTGCCCTAAGAGGAGGTATGTGGCTACAGTGTAAATAAAATTAATATCGGCTTTAACGAAAAATGTCCGGATATCTTTACAATAACTCTACTCGCACTGATATAACCTGAAAGGCAGACACCTTTCAACATTAGTGAATATGTAGAACATCACTGAATTTTTTGTAAAAAAATTTTTTTGAGAGGATGTTATGTAGCTAGCCCAGGCTGGCTTCGAACAGGTGATGTATTACAGGTGTGCACCACCACGACCAACTGCCCCCCCCAAAAAAAATTGCTTTAAATGGGCTCTGAAGCTAGGGATGTAGCTCAGTGGCAGAGTGCATACCTAGTACACGCAAGGTCCTAGGTTCAATCCCCAGCACTAAAAAAGCCTGAAATGTAAACGATATTCACTTTTTTATTATTATTACCATTTATTTGTTATTATTACCTCTTGATCGGGAGCCATGATTAATACAAAAACCACTCAGTGATAGACACGTATTCCCACTTGAAATACAAATTGCAGTGGTGTGGACAACCACCCCGAAAATAAACAGGTTAAGTCTCACAACTGTTATAACTACCTCATGCATAACTTTTTCCATTACATACCTTCTTAAATTAACAAGTCAAAGGAGGCTGAACCAGGAGGACTGCCAAAAGTTCGAGGCCTGCCTGGGCTATATAGTGAGTTCAAGGCCAGCCTGAACTACACAGATCCCTCTCAAAAAAAAAAAAAAAATAATAAAAATAAAATTATTTTAACTATTAAGCACTAGGTGTGTAAAATGCTTTGAGATATACAAAAGAGCACTGATTTTGGAAGGTCAGATGTTTAGGTTTCGCTCTCAGATCTGCTTCTTATTAACAAGTTAACTTTTCTTTTCTTTTTTTGGTACCAGGGCTCAAACTCGGGTCCTTGTGCTTGCACAGCAGGCAGTGAAACCACTGAGCTAAATTCCTGGCCCAACAAGTTAACTTTTCTAAGCTTCAGGCTTCTTGTAAAATATGAAAATATTTCTACAGAATTTTTCTAAGGAGTCAATACCTTTTTTTTTTTTTTTTGCGGAATCAGGAATCGAACTCAAGACCTTGCACTTGCCAGGAAGGCGTGGCACCACTGAGTTAAATCTCCAGCCAGGAGTCAATACCTTATCTCTAGGAGACCTTATCCATTTCCAAGGCCTTTATTGTCTGTGGTGCTCACTCCCAAATTCAGTCTCCAGTCCAGATGCCTCTCTAGGGCTCCAGCCTGACTATCCAACATCCAAGCAGAACAATCACAACTCAATGTTCTAGCAGTGCCCAGCATTGTAAGTGGTCCTTACTATCTTCAGAAAATTGGTTCCATGGGGCTGGGGATTTAGCTCAGTGGTTTTGCCGCCTGCCTAGCAAGCTCAAGGACTTGAGTTCTATCCTGGTAAAAAAAAAAAAAAAAGAAAGAAAGGGAGGGAGGGAGGGAGAGAGAGAGAGAGAGAGAAAGAAAAGAAAGAAAGAAAATTGTACTTGTTTTTCACTATCTGATTCTTCAGGTAAGATACCAGCTGATTCCTTGCACACGTTACACTTGGCCACAATTGAGAACAGAACTGGTCCCGAATGTCACTGGCCCAGAGCAAAGGACCAACAAGGACTGTTTGACAGGAGTCAGGTGAGCTCTCCGCGGTGGTATAGGTGGTCAGATGGTGATGATCAGACACTGCAGCCATTGAGAGCCAAGTTCTAGACAGTGGCAGGCAGTCCAGAGCTATTCAAGATACTGTTCAAAAATAAACTACAAGAGGGCCAGGGATTTAACTCAGAGGTGCTGCCGCCACCTGCCTTGCAAGCACAAGGCACTGAGTTCAATCCCCATACCAAAAAAAAAAAAAAAAGAAAATAAAAATAAAATAAAATAAAGAAATTACAAGAAAAGTGAGAAAGAGAAACCCCAAAATTGAGACAATCTGATCTTGATTTCAGTAAAACTGTAGATAAATATATTTGCAAGAGCTGGACATAGTGGCACACACCCATAATCCTAGCTACTCAGGAAACTGAAGCAAGAGATTGTAAATTGGAGGTCAGCCCCAGGCAATTTAGCCAGACTCTGTTTCAAAACAAAAATTAAAAATCGGCTGTGAGAAGTGTTGAAGGGAGGGGAGGAGGGATGGGGAAAAAAGAATTAAGATGTATTATGTACAGGTACAAATTCCCTATGATAAATGTGGTCATTATCACAGTGTATTGAAAGTGCACAAATAAAATTAATGTTAAAAAATGGCTGTAGGGGCCAGGGATTTAGCTCAGTGGTTCCACTGCCTGCCTCCCAAGTGCAAGGACCCGAGTTCGATCCCCAATACAAAAAAAAAAAACAGCTGTGGATGTAGCTCAGTATTCCCTGGGTCCTTGAGTACAATACCAAGCACCTCACAGTGGGTAGGGTGGGAAAGCCGGAGAAAATTGCAAAAATTAGATTTTAGTAATATGGAATTATTGTTAGTTTATCTCCCTACCCCCACCCCATCTAACCCCTTTCCTGGCCCTTCTGCCATAGGATGATATAACAAGCAAATCCTTGTCAGATGCTGCTTCCTCAGTCCTGGACTTCCCAGACTCCAGAATAAGACATGCCAAATAATAAGGATTTTCAAAGAATGAAAACTGGAGGCTTACTATCCCATGGGTTGAGACTTGCAAGGAAGTAATCCTTCTCACATAAGGAATGGGGCACCATGTCAGGACACCCAGAGACCTGGAAGAGTTCAGTAAGAAGTGAAACTGAAGCTCTTGTTAAGGGCCAGCTTCACAGCCATGTGAGTGAACCACCTTGGGAGTGAATCTGCTACACCATACCACCTCAGCCTCCCGTCTAGCTAGCATTACAGCTTTGAGCCACACTACACCCAGCTCAGCTAATTTTCACATGACAAAAGCTCATAAACAAAATATTAAAAATCACTCATATTTAGAGGAATGCAAATTAAAACTATACTGATACACTGTATCTTATCCCTCAGGCAGACAAAAATTTTAAAATGCAACAGGCTATGGGGAAGCAGGCATTCTCAGGCATTGCTGGTGGAAATACAAATTGGTACCACCCTTCTGGAGAGAAGTTTGCAATACATAATTTAAAAACTACGTATGCAGGGCTGGGGATTTAGCTCAGTGGTTCCAGTTCCGCCACCTGCCTTGAAAGCACAAGGTACTGGAGTTCAATCCCCAGCACCAAAAAAAACCCCCTACATATCCTCTTAACCTGACCCAAAATTCCCACTGCTGGGAATCTATCTTAAAAATCCACCTACAGGGGCTGGGGATTTAGCTCAGTGGTTCCAGTTCCGCCGCCTGCCTTGCAAGCACAAGGTCCCAAGTCTGATCCCTGGTACCAAAAAAAAAAAAAAAATACACCTACAATATGAAAATACATATACACATGGTTCTTCATTACAGTATTGTTTGTAACTGCAAAATATCAGAAACCCAAGTGCCCACACATATATGTGCCAAAGTGAGCACCCAAGTGGCCACACGTAACATGATGATTGGGTATTTTTTTTAAAAGGTGAAGATTTCTATCAATATAGTGATTTTCAAGATATATTGTTAAACTTTTTTTTAAAGTGTAAAGTATAGGACCTTCACGTTAAGAGATATAATGCCAAGGGCCGGGGATTTAGCTCAGTGGTTTCGCCGCCTGCCGCACAAGCGCAAGGACCCGAGTTCGATCCCCAGTACCAAAAAAACCCCAGAGAGATATAATGCTGAGCATGGTAGCACATGGTATTCTCAGCTACTGGAGAGGCTGAGCCAAGATCACAAGTTCAAGCTCATCCTGAGGAACATAGTGAGACCATCTCAAAACGAATCAGAAGGGAGAAGTGCTGGGGATGTAGCTCAGTAATAGAATATACTTGGGTTTACCAGTACAAAAGAAAAAAGGGAGGGAGGAAGGAAATTAACCTGGACACATTTGAACTGTACTGGTCGGGTACTTTGCCCTCAACTTGTTATTTTTTTCATGATGAGATGGAGGGTTTTTTTAAAGACAACCCCAGAAAAGGCAATATGCCCTTCTTGGTGCATTTCCTAGCGGGTATGTGATACCAGTCTTTTCCTGGTGATATTAATCTTAATCACTCAAGGTGTGTCTGCCAGGTTTGTTCACTGGAGTTATTCTGAGGGTGTGTAAATAGTTTATTTTACAGGGCCGGGGATTTAGCTCAGTGGTTTCACCACCTGCTGCGTAAGCACAAGGACCCAAGTTCGATCCCAGTACCAAAAACAAAAAAGGACTTTAATAGTTTATTTTACAAACTTCCACCTACTCCTTTTAGCATGGATCAGGTGTGCCTCATACCTGGAACAGTTCATAACATTAAGAATATCAAGGTACACAAACAAGAGAATAGGTTCTCTAACAGACTGGGAGTTATGACAATTAACTGTGATACCAGGTCTTGTATTAAACCTGTAACTGAAAAGGGACACCAGTATAAATACTGTAAAATATGAATCAGGGTCAATAGTTTAATGTTATTTTAGTATTGTCTTGATTTCAATAATTATGGTACGATTATGTAAAATTAAGCACTAATGGAAACTGGGTGAATATGAGAACTATTTTTAACATTTTTATAAGTCTAAAATTACTTCAAAATGAAAATTTAAAATATTTCCTAAAGTTATAAACAGTAAAATGTTCTTAGAGAATCAATCACCTTTTTGGTTTTTTGGGGGGTTTTTTGAGACAAGAGGTCTTACTGTTGCCTGGGGTGGTCTTGAACTTGTGGGCTCAACTGATCCTCCTGCCTCAGCTTCCCAGTTTCTGAAAGTACAGGCATGTCCCACCATTCCTGCCTTAAATGATATATTTTAATGTAGTGATTCTATTGAACCTCAACAAAAACCTAATTTAATAAAATGATTTTAAAGTTACCTGAAATAACTTTCCCTAGGTAAAATATATAGTATGGGGCCAGGGATTTAGCTCAGTGGTTCGGTCACTTGCCTTGCAAGCGCAAGGACCTGAGTTCGATCCCTGATAACCCCCCCCAAAAAAGGGAAAATGTGGTGTTTTTTTTATAAAATGGAGTGCTACCCAGCCATAAAGAACGAAAAACTAGTCATTTATAGCTAAATGGATGCATATTGAGGTCCTATTCTTAAGTGAAATAAATAGGACACACGTGTAAACACCGAATAGTTTATCTAGTGAGAAACTGATAGTGTAAACAGGGGTTAAAATGATTAAAATGAATAACTGATAATCTGAAATAGGAAAAAAGGTCCAAAGACGAAGGAGTGAAGGGAGGGGAAGGGGAAAGGAAAAGAGGGAAAGGGAAAACTGAGAAAAGAAAAAAAAAAAGGAAATGCAATCTATGTAAATAGGGAAGGGTGGCGGGGGTGAAGGGCGCACAGGTAATGGGGGAAAAAAATAAGAACCAAGATATACCATGTACAGGTACAAACACCCAATGATAAATGTAAATGAATTGTATACCTAAAATGTACCAATAAAAGAACTAAAAAAAATTACCACCAAAACTCAATGCCTTAAAATAACAAGCACTTATTTCGTGCATAAATTTGTTAAAAAAAAAAAAAAAAGCCAAAATAAAATCCAGTATTGCAGTGCTGTGGGAAAACAGGGTCTCTCATAGGGCATGAAAATAAATTTGAAGAGCAAGCTACAGAAAAATCAAATCTATATTCACTTTTACCATTCAGTCCTACCTTCAGAAAAATGTATCTTAAATGACAGACAAGTACAAACTTATGAGGTATTAATTTTAGGGTTGTAACAGAGAAAAACTGAGGTGATCAATATTTGCCAGCCGGGAGCCTTGATTAAATGTACAGTAGTATATCCATATGAGATAACATGCAATTATTAAACAACTCACAATGTTAAATAATTAACTCCAATTTTAAATGAATTCGTGTTAAAGTGCTCATTGTGCATGGTGGTGCATCCCTGTAATCTCAGCAACTGGGAGGCTGAGGCAAGAGAAAAGCTCCGTTCAAGGCCAGCCTGGGCTGCTATAGCAAGACCTTGTCTCATCACTGTCTCCCTCAAAATGTTAGCCATGAGGTGACAGTGACTTTTTTTAAATTTTTTGAGGTGACAGTGACTTTTATTTTGTTCCTAGTTTTATACCCAGCTTTTATTTTTATATTTCAAGTATCAAGCTATTCTCAGTCAAGAAAACAAAGAGATATCCAAAACATAAAGCACTAATATCTTTATTATGGCATAAAGTAGTATTTTATACATTAACTCATTTTATAGTAAAAACATTTTATGTACAACCGTAGAGAAACTACTGCACAGATAGCTCCAACATAAAAACATGGTTGTAATTCAAGTCATTCAGCTGTTTGACACATAAATTGGAAAATATTTTCTCTGTAGAAAATAGTAAAAATAAGTGTTTTCCAGATTAGCCCAATAAGCCCATTTAAATCAAACAGAAGCTGAATTACAGATTTATATATTTGAGTTCTGGGATCCAGAATATTAGCTTCCTTTACTGAAACTTCATGTTTTTCTTAAAATTAAATTGTACAAGGTGAAACTGCTACTAGTCCTTCCCTCTCATACCTGATTGTTCAGTTACCATATCCTTATAAGCCATTTATTCCTATCTAAATTTTGCAATGTTTTGGTTATTAAAGCATGCCCAGCATTTTGACAAAACCAGAATCTGATAAATTATAACCCACAAGGCACATGTGCAGAGGCTATACTTTCCCCTAATTCCCTGTGGCTTGACAGGGTGCCATGAGGGTCACAGGAATAAAGCAATAAAACTGACAAATGGACCAAGGAATAAAAGCCAAGAGAATTGTTGTTTTTTGTTTTTTTTGGTACCGGGGATCGAACTCAGGTCCTTGCACTTGCAGCACAAGGCAGCAAAACCACTGAGCTAAATCCCTGGCCCTGGTTTTTGTTGTTGTTGTTGTTGTTTTTTAAGCCAAGAGAATTCTAAGAGGGCAGGAGACACTGGTCAGGATTCAAGGATAAAGCTGAAGTGCAGACAGAAAAAGGATGTTGCCTCAGCATCAGGCACTGAGTTGGCTTTTAGGGCCCTCTCTGCAAGGTGCTAAGTAACAGCAGACAGGAATTAAACAGAAAACAGACCCTAGATTTTTCAAAGTAACAATGAAAATGAGAAAAACCATGTAGTTTGTTTGTTTTGGTACCAGGTATCGAACTCGGGTCCTTGCGCTTGCGAGGCAGGAGGCGGAACCACTGAGCTAAATCCCCAGTCCCCAACCATGTAGTTTTAATTTTCCTTCAAAGTTTGTCCCAAGATTCCCATAAACATATTTTATCTTTAAGACTTCATGCTGCCTGTCAGAAGTTAACTTCTTGAGCTGGGGATGTAGCTCAGTGGTGCTGCGCCTGCCTGGCAAGTACAAGGTCCTGAGTTCGATCCACGATAGAAAAAAAAACAAGTAGGTATATTAAAGATTATCATGGCTGGGGATTTAGCTCAGTGGTTCCGCCGCCTGCCTCGCAAGTACAAGGACCTGAGTTCAATCCCCGGTACCAAAAAAAACCCAGAACTGTAATGAAGAATTTTAACTAAAATTTGTAGTGGACACAAAGCTCCAAAGGGAGTAAGGTTGTCATATTTGAGTAAAGATTATCAGCAAACCCGAAATACAAAAAAAAAAGAAAAAAAAGTTAACCTCTTGATATATTCATGATACACTAAGGTGCTGACATACTCTTCAGCACTGTAAGACTGCAACCTCACTTCCTTTAATTCCTTCTTGGTAAACAATGTTCATCTTTCAGTAGGAAGAAGTGGAGCACAAACATTTAAACTCTATTTATCCAGTCTCCTTATTTACAAAGAAAGCTATGGAGCCATCTTATACACTGGAAATTCCTTAAGGTCCCTGGCTCCCCATTAAAATGTACTTCTATGTATACTATCTGAAGAATTCACTGAAGCATCAATAACCATACGAGGAGCTAAGTCTATCAAAATGCATACAAATATGGGTAATCTATACTGAATGTATTTCATCCTCCAAATCTAGAGCATATACAAGCAAAAAACAGCTCAGGGCCAGGGATTTAGCTCAGGGGTTCCGCAACCTGCCTCGCAAGCACAAAGACCTGAGTTCCATCCCCAGTACTAAAACAACCCCAAACTTACAGCTCAACTAAGTTTAAAATCTCATTTCTTTTTCTTTTTTTTTTTTTAGTACCGGGGATCGAACTCAGGACCTTGCACTTTCAAGGCAGGCAGCAGCACCACTGAGCTAAATCCCGGGCCCTTGAAATCTCACTTTAAAACATTGCTCCGCATTAGTTCTCAGAAGACATGTTACAGGACCACGCAAGTAATTGTTTAGCAGGAGGCCAAGGAATGACAATTACAGATGAAAGCCTTGGCTTTCAAAGTATAAAGTGGTCAATCCAGAGATTGCTGCTTCCCTTAGGCATTTAGTTTAGAGAAGGACACTACAGAGACTCTGGGGGCTAGGGACATAGCTTAGTGGTAGGGCACATGCCTAGCATGTGAGAGGCCTTGGGTTCAATCCTCAGTATTACAAAAATAAAAAAGATCAACTCATACGTACAATATAGGGAGATATGTGCTTGATTTTATCTTATAATCTAGACAATGTGTATTAGAATAAAGATGTAATGAATTCATTTTCTTTTCAAATGAAAACCTGATAAAAAGAAGTAGCAATAGTTACAAACGACAATGATCAAATGAAATAATTTAGACAAATCCCGCCCCTCTGCAAGGGATGGGGACTGGCCAAGTGGTCAAAAGGAAGCACAATGTACTTTTAATTGTGTGAAAAATAGCATTCAGTTCCATGTTGCCAAACATAGTTCTGTTTCTGCCATATAAACCCTCTCCTCCTCATCACTGACCGAATGCTTTACTAAAACTCCGCTTCTGACCTGTGTTTTGGGATCTGTTACTTTTATTGCCACCTCCTGATCTCTGTCCCCTGAAGTTTCTGTTTCCTCCCCCCCGCTGTCCCCTGAAGCCTCTGCTTCCATCTCGCTGTCCCCTGAAGCCACGGCCACCTTCCCGACCCCGGGAGCCTCGAAATCCTTCTCGTGATCCTTCCAGCTCTGGCTGTTCTGTGGCCACAGCAAGCTGCCAGCGTCTTGAATCATGCCATTTCTCCTGTTGAGAGAAAGTTTGGTTTTCATCTCCCTTGATTTTAATTCGACTTTGTTTAAGCATGCGAAAAAACACTTCTGTTTCTATTTCCCCAAAGAACAACCAATTTGATAATTCAAGTGCTTTAAAAGGTCCCTGATTCAAAGTAACAATGACCATCATGGCGCAAAGCCAGTGACACTGATGTGGGAAAACAGCCTTCCTACAATCGGTAACCCTCATCACTATATGGCTCTGTTCAATTCAATTGTTGCAGGGTCTCTACAGCTGTCAAAAATATGTCGTGTACAGTTGCACTGCCCAGAGCAGTACTGAATAAAGATGTGCAGAATAAAAAGGAAAAAAAAAAGCCAAAATTTGAATTTTCAGCTGTCTTTTAAAGGGACTAGAACTGCTTGCTGTGCTCCATCCTAAAATTCTGTATTTCATAACGAACATTTTATAATTTAGGTATGTTAACTTTAAAATCCACAAGAAAGGGCCAGGGATTTAGCTTAGTGGTTTTGCCACCTGCTGCACAAGCACAAGGACCCGAGTTCGATCCCCAGGACCAAAAAATTTTTAAAAATTAAAATAAAATCCACAAGAAAATACCTGTATTTCTGTGACTGCAGCAGTACGGACATCAAAACAAACACCCTAGAAATCAAAGCAAATGGCAGTTAATCCAATACACATTAAGTGATACAGTAAAACATCAACTATTATAGGGGAAAAAAATCCCACTAGGTATTAATTTTTTTTTTTTTTGGTACCGGGGATCAAACTTGGGTCCTTGCGCTTGCGAGGCAGGCGGCAGAACCACTGAGCTAAATCCCCGGCCCCAAGGCCAATACATTATAACTCCCAAAAGCACAAGAGCTGAAAGTCAAGGAGTACCTTTAAAGACTTGGAATCTCCTAACTATTATAGATATTCTGGGCCCTGAACTGACCATCAAGTAGCTATCAGCTACTTTTTCTTTTTTTTAATAAAAAGAAAGGCTTTTTTTGGATTCCAGATATTGTGACAAGTTTCCCTTTGAGACAACAATTCAGAACACCACCATATGAACCCCTCTTCTGGGTAGTGCAGACAGGCTATTAAGTTTGTTTCATTTTACAGCTGAGAAAAGAGAGGTTGGCTGACTTGTCTATATGGCCCATGTTAAGTGGAGAGGGTATTTAAAATCTGATAAATACAGGATGCAATCTTTGATACTAAATACCTTCCTCTCCCTGCAGCCACAACAAAAGAATCCCACAAAGTCAAAATGACTTTCACAGCATTAGTTAGGCATTACCTGCCCTTTTCACACTCATTCTCCATAAGAGTATAATGAAGCTTCCCAGGTTTAGAAAGTAAAGACTTTAAATCTTAAACATGAATTCAAGATTCTGAATTAAGTTACTTGATTGAGCTATATAGGTGGAGATGTCAGGGAAGTAACTGGACCTTTAAGTCTGGCATTGTATGCAAAATGGTTTGGACTGGACTCATAGAATAGTTGTTGCTGGGAGTGGTGGTGCACACCTGTAATCCCAGCACTCAGGAGGCTGAGGCAGGAGGATTGCCCCAAGTTCAAGACTAGCCTGGGTTACACTGTGAGTTCAAAGGCCCACCTGAATTACAGAGCAAGACCCTGACTCAAAAAAAGAAGTTATCAGCTGAGGACCATGGAAGAGACTGCCCAGTGACAAAAAGATGCACCATCTCCACTGGGCAGAGAAGACACCATCCTGTTTTCCTGCCCATAATGATCTACTGAACCTGAGGGAGGTCACGACAGAGCATATGGCCTTACCAGCTTTCCTTTGAGAAAGACCATTCCCTTCACTTTGGAATCAATATCCTCTCCCAGTTGCTCCTTAAGTTCTTTCCAAGCGTAACTGATGTTTGGCATTTCAACTGAGCACCGCAGGATCATGGTCACAAAACCCTTATGGAAGAAAGAGAAACAAAATTAAAGTCTCAAAACCAAGCCTATACACCCTTATAAACACCCTTACAATTCTATAGTATTTCTGGAACAGTTCTTTCTAAAAGCAATCGCTTCTCGGCCTTTTGGCTAAGATCAAGTGTAGTTCTTTCTAAAAGCATACAATATACATACACTTTAATACATGCAAGGCAGCCGGTAGAACCACTAAGCTAAATCCCCAGCCTCACTGAGAAACTCTTAAGACTGGTGGATTTTATTAATGTGATAGTTTCTAAAATATTACCATTGAGGGAAGCTAGGCAAAGTGCACAAGGCATCTTTATGTTACATCTTTCAACTACATGTCAATATACAATTATCTCAAAAAATTTTCAAAACTTCAGTCTATGCAAGAGAAATAAAAGCTTACAACCGGGGACTTAGCTCAGTGCCACTGCACCTGTCTTGCAAGCACAAGGCCTGAGTTCGATGTGGGGGGGGAGCAGCAGCTGGGCATATACCTAAGGTTTCCATTCTGGTGAAATGATGAAACATTTATGTATACACATGTTTGGTGTGCAACTTTCGGTGCAGTTTCAAAATATATTCACAAGTGTGGCCAGGGATTTAGCTCAGTGGTTCCGCCACCTGCCTCACAAGCGCAGGGACCCAAGTTTGATCCCTGGTACCAAAAAAAATATATTCAAAAGTTCACTACCATCACCACTATCTGGAATTGCAGAAAACTTCATTTCTACAAACAGAAAGCCTAGGTGCATTCATCTGCAGCTCCTGCCAATCCTCCTACCACCCATCCCCTGGCAACCATGGATCTATTTTTGTCTCTACGGATTTTAAATTAGGAAAACAGTAAAATACAATTAGCACCATCTTGAGAAAGTGAAACTGGGAAGTTTAAATGAATCCTTGTAAATCCTGCTCAAATCCCAAAGTATATACAAACTTACTGCCTCTGAGTTGATCAAGGAACGCTGGTCTACTGATGTGGCACCTGAAATGTGGGCCAGCGCTGCTGCCAGGGCCTCCACAGCTCCCTTCTCTTCTATCAGCTTCTCAGCTGACTGTTTAAAGTGGCCAATGGCAGTGGGAGGCACAGAGTCCAAAAGCCTGAGTTTGACAATATATTCATAAAGGAAAAGATCAGCAGACAACACCATGGCATTACATGTAATACATAAAACAACAATTTCAAACCGTGCGTTAATATGGTCTCATTATAAACAGATAAAATGAAAACAGATACAACAAAATACCATATTGTCAGGCCGGGAATTTAGCTCAGTGGTGCCACTGCCTGCCTTGCAAGTGCAAGGTACCAAAAAAAAGCCACAGTCATTAAAAGCAATGATATAATAGTGTGTGGTGAGGCAGGCCTATAATACCAGCAGTTGGAAGCCTGAGACAAGAGGACCGCCATGAGTTCAAGGTCAGCCTGGGCTACACAGTGAGTTCAAGGGCAGTCTAAACTACAAAGCGAGACCCTGTCTCAAAAAAAAAAAAAAAAAAGTAATAATACCAAATATGAAGAGCACTCTAAGAATGATTCCCACACTAAGTAACTCCTTACCAGAAATGTAGCCCACCACTAGGAGATATATGGAAAAGTTTTTGATTTCATAATGCCACCTCCAAGAGTGTGCTGCCTAGAAGCACCAATAGACAGGGATCTAAAACAGCTAAATATCCTTCAGTGTGTAGGATAATCCCACACAATAATGCTCTTGCTCCCAATGCCTATAACACCTACACTGACAAACAATTAATGAACCACTCCTCACCTTCTAGGTATTTACTATAGCTTGAAAGAATTAATCAAGCCTGATGTGGTGCTGCATGCTTATAATCCCAGCCAGCAGGAGAGGCTGAGGCAGGAGGATCCCAAATTCAAGGGCAACCTGGATATCTTGGTGAGACACTGTCTCAAACTAAAATTTTAAAAAAGGGCTGGGAAGCCAGGGACAGTGGCGCATGGCTATAATCTCAGCACTTGGGAGACTGAGGCAGTATAATCGCCACAAGTTTGGGGCCAACCTGGGCTACATAATGAGTTCAAGGACAGCCTGAACTACATAGTGAGACCCTGTCTCAAAAAACAAAAGCAGGGCCGAGGATTTAGCTCAGTGGTTTCGCCGTCTGCTGTGCCAGTTCAATCCTCGGTACCAAAAAAAAAAGCAAACAAAAGATAACTAGGTAAGTAAATAAAAAAGGCCTGTGAATATAGCACAACACGAGGCCCTGGGTTCAATCTCCAATACTTAAAAAATCAGTTTTTATTCCACCACGTGGGGTACTAACTTAATGAAGGTCTAAAACAGAATCTGTGATTAATCAGTCACTGGATGAGAAGCTGAGCTATCATTCCTTAAAATGTCTAAGATAAACCAAACTGGGCAGAGATGAGAAATGAGGGCATTTACTTCATCAAATTCTACTTAGACAGGGGCCGGGGATTTAGCTCAGTGGTTCCGCCACCTTGCAAATTCAAGGACCCAAGTTCAATCCCCGGTACAAAAAAAAAAAATTTAGGGCTGGGGATTTAGCTCAGTGGTTCTGGTGCCTGCCTCACAAGCACAAGTTCCCAAGTTCGATCCCCAGTACCAAAAAAAAAACCACAACAAAACAAAACAAAAATTCTACCTAGACAGTCTGAGTGTTTTTATGACAAGCAGATTATCAAGTTAGAAATATCAAATAAAGAACATAAACTTTGATCTCTAGATCTGCAAAGAAAAAGGTCAAATCTGTACTGTAGAGACGCTCAACATACAGCATGAAAGCACCTCAGTGACAGCAGGGAACGTACCTGATAGCGTCTTTGCTAGAAGCTTTTATTATTTCTGTTGGAGAAGGGACACCTATTCGTTTAAATTTAATTCCCTGCAAGAAAACCCGCAATTTAATGCATAATGGCCATCAATCATTTCCATCAACATTAGTAAACTCCTACTATTTTTCTATCTATGAAACATTGTATTTGTTACATTTAAAAAACTTTTAGTTTTAGATATATACACAAACTGCACAGACAGTACACAGAGCTCCTGGATATCATGCACCAAGTTCCAGCTAGGCACACCTTACATTGCACCAAGGTATGCTTGCTGAAACTAAGTCAAGGCCAGGGATTTAGCTCAGTGGCGCCAGGCCTGCCTCGAAAGTGCAAGGTTCTGACTTTGATCCTCGGTACACGGGGAAAAAAACCTAAAAACAAAAACTAAGAAGTCAACATTGTTGTTTAGATGGGGCTCATGGATTTTGAGGGAGAATTCAATGATTGTCTGGCCCTGGGAATGCTTGCTGGGCTGTGTGCACCGTAAAGTCTTCACCACCTACCACGCTCTGTAAGTTGCTAAGTGCAGCCTACTCTGGGGTGAGTGGGAGGTTAGGCTTCACTCCTGAAAAAGGATCTACATACAGTTATTAAAATTCTGTAATTAACATTAAGTCTCTCCCCTCCCTTATCCTTATGATACTCTCATCCTTTTGGTTTTGAAGCAATTCCTGTATCTCCTAAATCTGATTAAATATTTTTGGTATGTTCATGTTATCACTGCCTGAAAATCACCATAACACTGAAAAACAAACTCCTTTTTTCAAATACAAAGTTATTTTAAAATGAGACTTATATCACGGGACAACAGATAAACAACATATACATCTAATGAGCTTTCAGTCATGGCCACATGCTAGAAATAAAGACAACAAGTTAATAAAAATTAAATAAAGAAACCAAAGGCTGACTTTAGAGCACAACATAACTGATAAATAAAGGGAAATAGTTTTACCGCTTTCTGCTCCACTTGTGCTAACTGATATTCTTCCTTGTGCTGATAAAAGCAGATGCAAACCCCTGTCCTTCCAGCTCTGCCCGTCCGCCCAGAACGATGAATGTAGGACTCTACATCCTGTCAAAGCAAAACACTGAGTGATACAGAGGTGCACATCTGACGCCCAGACGACCCACTCAGTGAAGACCAGCAAGCAGCGGAGGCACGAGGGAGGACACTAGCACTTCAAGCAAATCTGCAATCAGTAGTCTCTAAACTGGATTTTCTTTTCTTTTTTTTGTTTCACAGAAAAAAATGAATGTAGATTTATTGACAACTACTAGAGTAATACATTCAGTTAAGAAATACATTTTCCAAGTATTTTAAGAACTTCTAGTAGACCCACCCCCTCGATTTATCTACAAAGTAGGCACTATAATTACATTAAACTGTATTTTCAACTTCAAGTAGCCATAATAAGTTTTTTTAAAAGGGTAAAATTAATTTTAACATTTAACCACAAGTCTTATCATTTCAATATGCTACCTATAGAAATAATGAGTTACCAACAAGGTTTTGTTTTTTCTGGTTAAGACAAAAAGTCTTGCTGCCTTTAAACTTGAGATCCTCCTGCCTCAGCCTCCTAAGTGCTAAAATTATAGACATGTGCCACCATGCCTGGCTCCCAATTAAGATCCAGCTTCCAACTGAGATATTTTATATCATTTTTCATAAGTGTTCAAAGCCCAAAGTCCATAATAAAAATACCAAAAAAAGGGTCAGGGATTTAGCTCAGTGCCACTGCACCTGCCTCGCAAGTGCAAGGTCCTGAGTTCAATCCCCGGTATCAAAAAAAAAAAAAAAAAATCCAGTGTATATTTTACATTTAAAACACATGTCAATTAAACTACCCACATTTCAAGTGCTCCACAGATACACGTGGCAAGTGGTTACCATACTGGATAGCACAATTCTATAGGTTCATGAAAGCAATGTCTATGTCATATACTTATGAGATTATCTTTTTAGAATCGGTGAGGGGTAGGGATACAGTTCAGTGGTACACCGCTTGCCTGGCACGAGTGAGGCACTGGGTTTAATTTTTTTAAAAAGATGAATTTAGGGCCAGGGATTTAGCTTAGTGGTTTTGCCACCTGCTGCGCAAGCACAAGGACCAGAGTTCGATCCTCGGTACCAAAAAATAAATAAATAAATAAAAAGATGAATTCACAGTAATCATGTTATATTTTCCATCACTGTAAAGCAACGTGGATAGGGAAACAGTATTCAAGATCGAACCCAGGGAAGCACTAAGCTACATCCCCAGTCCTTTTTAAAGACTTAAAAAAAAAAAAAGACTTAAAAATTGAGGGCTGGGGATTTAGCTCTGTGGCATCGTGCCTGCCTCACAAGCGCAAGGTTCTGAGTTCGATCCCTGGTACAAAAAAAAAAATTTTTTTTGAGATAGGGTCTAAGTTGCCCAGGCTAGCTAGGAATTCTCAATCCTCCTGCCTCAGCCTCCTGAATAGCTGGGATTACAGCCACGTGTCACATATACCCAGCTAGAAAGCAAACTTTATTTTTTTGGTACCAGAGATCAAACTCGGGTCCTTGCACTTGAGCAGCAGGCGGCAAAACCACTGAGCTAATCCCCGGCCCTAGAAAGCAAACTTTAGCCATGAGAGATTTGGCAACTTGGGGGGAGTTATGGAATATTCCCACTGGTATTGTTGGGAACAGAGTCATTTAGACTTTTATTTATATGAGCACCATCTACATCACATAAACTGCTTTAGGGCTCTCCCTGAAAAGGTCTCATAATCCACAAAACCTCTCAGCAATTAGAAGGAGGTTGTTGAGTCCAGGACTCTTCTCTCTTCTATCCTCAAAAAAGTACAACCTCCATGAAGCCTTCCAGGACTCCCTTTGAATCAGAAGCCATCTTTCCAGTTCCTGGCCAGTTAGCTGTCAATTACATGCTAGCACTCAAGACACTGCTAATACTAACCACATGTAAATAAACATGGCAGCTTTGTGCTTTAATGCCCAAAAGGAACAAAATAAAATCTAGGTGTAAAATACTTACCTTTGGTGGACAGCTTTGTACAACCAAATCAACCTCAGGGATATCTAACCCACGTGCAGCAACATTGGTTGCCACCATAACTCCAAAATCACCATTTCTAAAACCTTTCAGGGTGATTTCCCTTTGTTTCTGTGGAATGTCTCCATGTAATGACTGGGCATCCTGCCAAAGAAATAAATTGGCCTAAGAATAGCATATCCAACAATACACGCTCAATTAGTCCTATAAAAGACATATTTTGGTGACACTCCTGCCAAGAATATTACAAGAGGAGAAAAACATGTGAATTCATACATGGACAAACCTCCAAATTATTTCCAAATCCTGAGCCATTAAATCTAACCATACTCACCAAGGTTGAAAACACCACACGAAAGTGACTGACCCTAAATTGTCAGGGGAGCTTCAGGTGTCCCCCACCCATTCCTCATCTGTCTGCTAAGTCAGCTGGGTCAGGTAAGCTCTAACATGCATACTTTCACAAGATTCCCTTCACTTCTAACCTAAAAGAAACTAGAAGTCACAGAACGAATGAAAAACAGACTAAGCAGACATGCTGAAGTTGACAACAAATCTGGCCGGGGATTTAGCTCAGTGGTTCCACCGCCTGCCTCGCAAGCACAAGGTCCCAAGTTCGATCCCCAGTACCAAAAAAAAAAAAAAAAAAAAAAGAAGATGACAACGATCTGTAGATGCCCCAGCTTCTCAGGAACGTGAAGGACCAACCTGCTTTATTGAGGCATTCTGTGACAGCTCCTGGGCTTCTTTCTTGGTTTCACAGAAGACAATAGTGCGCCCTTGATGGCCACTGTACACTCGAATCACGTCCCCAATAACTGCTGCCCGCTGAGTCCAGTGGCACTTAATAGCCAGATGCTTTGAGAAGAAACACCATCTATTTAGTAAAGGCTTGTTGGAACGTAAAATTATCTGCTCAATTCTAAGTCTACTGTCTTGATATAGGAAAACAACTGCTTGGCCTGACAGAGCAGCTGCTACCACTGTTTACAGAAAACAGAATGCAACTGTGATACCTCGGTTGTCGAATGGCACCAAGCTCAAACTTCCCACTACTTGAACAGCAAAGTTACAAAAAAAGTATGCTCAGGTTGGGGATTTAGCTCAGTGGTTTTGCCACCTGCTGCGCTAGCGCAAGGACCCGAGTTTGAATCCCGGTACCAAAAAAAATATGCTCAGTGTTTGTAACTGCTCAGTAGTCGAACTGAAAATATAACTTGGAAAAAACCTGTATAGGCCAAGAGTGAGCCACATGTTGTGTTTTGCTGTGGACACAAAGAGGTGACGTGTCAGTCTGAGCACTGCTCTCACCCAGACAACATACAGAGCTTGTGTTAGAACATTGGTCACTGCGCACTTTTTTTTTTTTTGCATTTTATTTGCGTAAAATGTCATAACCAGGGCTGGGGATTTAGCTCAGTGGTTCCGCCACCTGCCTTGCAAGCGCAAGGACCGAGGAGTTTGATCCCGGGTACCCAAATAAATAAATAAAATAAAATATAACCATGGCTCCAAAGAAAGTTAGTGATATTGGCAGTAAAACTAAGAGGAAAACTGTGAGAAGCATGATAAGAGTTAAAAGAAAAAACAACAGCAAAATTTGTTAAAGTCCTGGAAAAATAAATTTATAAGTGTAATTTTTGGGTCTCAGAACCAATTAATTGGTTTTCCATTATTCCTTATTCGAAAAATATGTTCAATTTTTGAACTTTTCGGTGTTCAAACACAAATTTGGAACAAAGTGAGTTCAACAACCGAGGTATCACTGTAAACACACACTAATGTAAAAAGCAACATCATCTGTCCCCCTGCATTTCTCCTCTTCATCCGAAGAGCATCAGGCTTAATTTTCTGATTTAACCAGAGAACAGGAAAAGACATGCCATTCCCCAGATTCCTACATATAACATGAAAAGTTTCTGTATGTTCTGTTCCTTCATCCACATAAAGTATAATCTGTAATCAGTTACTATATAGGTCTGCTCCTTGGATGAAATGAATTCATGAAGGTACCAGACTCTAACATGAAAACAGCCATAAGAAAAGCCATTAAATTTCCCTGCTGCCCACCAGTGTTTCAATTCTAAGTGGAACTTTGTTTATGTAGTTCAGGCATATGATCCTAAAATCAGGCTACCAGATGATGAATTTTAGAAAAAATAGATACCACATACAAATCAAACAGAAATATCTTTATTTGGCTCTTCATATGGATTTAGTACTGTACTTATCTGGAAAAAGAACGTGGACTTGTCAATCTTTAATACTTAGGCAGGACACAAATATTAACAAATTTTATACTAATTCCAGCAACTAAATGCATCATTTACCTCCACAGTTATTGCTGTTTTCTGAGTCTTTTTACCAATCAGATCCACTTGTTCATATATAGATTTCATGTATTTCTTAGCAACATTAAATACCCAACTTGGGCAAGTTGCAGAAAAAAGCAGTGTTTGAGGATTGTCTTCAGAATCTTTAGGGGGGAAAAAAAATCAACATGAACAATTCAAACAAACCTGCAGAGTGTTCTACCTCACCTAGCACTTCCAGGGTTGACAAACATTCATTAGCAACCTCAGGAGGCCAAGCCATGCATTGAAGACACAAAATACAACACACAGAAGATTTTTAATGGGCGCAGAAATATTGAAATAATTATGTAAAGGACCCTTGAAAGCAAGCTACTCATAAGACTGAAGCAGGATTACAAATTTAAGCCCAGACTAGCCAATTTAGCAAAATTTAAAACTGCTAGAGATGTAGCCCAATGTGAAGACATGGGTTCAATCCCTGGGACAACACACTATAAAGAAGCCTTGAAATAGTGAAAGTACTTTAAACTTAAATCTAGTAACCAACCACTAAAGCTCTCTAAGCAAAAATAACCTATAAGAAAACCCACAAAGATTCTATAGCTATTTTATACTTAGTATTTCTTTAATATTTTATGAATTCAGAATCCCATTTTATTTGTTCTTTGAGGTCAGTTACTATTTTTGTTTGCCTGAACTTAGAGTATCATTGCACTCACAAGCGCAAGGTCCTGAGTTTGATCCCCAGTACTAAAAAAAAAAAAAAAAAAGTATTGCATTCTCATATATTTTAAATGGGAGTGTGTGCAATTTGGCAACATATGAGAAGCACAAACCATTACAACTTTTTCTTGGGGCAGTGGGGACACCTGGGAATTGAACACAAGCCCTCATGCATGCTAAGCAAATGCTCTACCACTGAACCATATTTTCAGCAGCTATTTACAACTTTTAACTAAGTAATTTTAATTCATCTAATGAACGAATTCTACATATTGAGGTGCAAGAAAGCCTACCTCCATAAAAGTGACTATGAACAGATTTATGTGGCATAAAAAAGAAAAAAACCAGGTAGGTGGCAGAATCATTGTCACCTTTCAGAGTATTGCACAAAATATTAGTATGCACAGTTAAGATTATAATTAGCACATATACCTGAAACACTGGGAATATACCAAAGGCAAAGTAAATCAAATTGATAGAAGATACAATTTTTCTTTTACTTTCTCAGGTTTTCCCCATTGAAGTTAGGTGATAAATCATGACTTTTAAAAAACTGCCAGGTTTTCCTGAATAAAATTAAGACCTTTCCTAAGGCTTCATTTATCTCCTAAAAGACTACTTTATCACCACCTTCCCTTGGTTCCTTCTATCAATTCCTTTATTTGGGGGTTTACCTTTCTTGTATGCCACACATAAAATATCTTCCACTTGTTCAGCAAAACCCATATCCAACATCTGGTCAACTTCATCCAGGACAACATGCTTAAGTTTGGAGAGATCCAGCTTGCCATTCTGTAGGTGGTCTTTGATACGACCTGGAGTCCCAACCAGGATATCAATCCCATTCCGCATTCGTTCAACTGTAAAGAAAACCAATAAAAAAAGATTTGCTGAGGGCCAGGGATCTAGCTCAGTGGTTCTGGGGCCTGTCTCACAAGCGCAAAGTCCTGAGTTCGATCCCCGATACCAAAAAAAAGGGATCGGCAAAAAAAGATTTGCTGTTTTACACTAATTCCTTTTACCAGTCTAGGGTACCATTTGAATATATTTTCATTTAAAATACTTATTGGACAGCTATAAAGTAATATGCTAAATAATAAAGACACTAAAGGTGCTCCTAATCCAGTGTGCAAAACACGTAAGAAGTGACAGTTCAGTGTATTAAGTGACATACTAGGAAAATGCACCATTGAGGAATGGTAGCATCAGGAAGGAAAAGACTACCTTGGCTTGCAGAAGGTATCACAGTTTCAGAGTGAAAATAAGAATCTTAAATATGAACTTTCTATAAGGTATAGGGAGAATCAGACAGACTAGAAGGGCAAATATTTTAACAAGGCATAAAAACATTCGGGAAAATAGAGGCTTTCAAAGTAACTGGAACAAGACGGTAATAATGTAAATTTTTTTACTGAGTTGCTATTATAGTCCAGGGATCATAGTAGGCACTTTACATATATTATCTAATTCAATTCTCACAACATTCCTGCAGGGTGTATTCAGTGGCTCTCTTTTATAGACAAGAAAACTAAAACAGGAAAAATTAGCAATTTGAGCATAGCCACACAATTACTCTACGAGCAGAGTCTAGATTCAAACCCAGGCTTTTGCACAAAGACCTAAGTTCATTCCACCAAAGCTGCAAAGAACCACAAGCTTTGCACTCCAATGCTGAGACTTTTTAATACCTTCCATCATTTCATAACCACTCTGCATAAAAACACTGTAAGGTCCCGAATCGGAAATAATAATGGGGTGAGGACTACATTAGGCTGTTGGCCCCCCGTTAACAGCAAGCTCCCCCTGCAGCAAGAAAGAAGCATGCAAAAGGAGACACAGACAGAAAGACATAAAGAGTAATCTTGAATTCTGACTCTCTTCTTCCCAGGGCTCCAATAAACTGTCCTCGAGCTCAATAAGATATCTTTGCAATCTTTAGGTAAATACTGATAGATAACGCAGAAGTCTAAGAATCATATACAGGACTGAGCCAGCATCACTCAGGACCATGCTCTTGACTATCTTCAAACACTAATGGCAAAAGAGAAACACAAGCTACTAGATGTCAAGGAATTCAATCACACTATCTAAAGCAACAGATGCCATTTTCCTTCCCCTACTTTTGAATTTACTTACTTTGACCTCCATATGGAGTTCCACCATAAAAACAAGCCACTGCCAGCTTTTTTGTGATGTCACTGAAGTCTCTGCTTACTTGATTTGCCAACTCCCTTGTAGGAGCAAGAACAAGTACCTAAAAGAAAAAAAACTCCTTGAATTCCAAGTTTTGTGCAGTATTTGTTTCTTAATTACTTTGGAACTGACCTGAAAATTCAACTCATTCTACTCATTCTGAAATATATCTGTTACAGGCTTTGCAATGTGCTCTGTGTGTGATACAGTTCCTGCTAAATATACTCAGAAGAAAAGCTAGTAATCATACCAATCAGAAGAGAGGTAAGTGCCCACATGTGGTGCTCCAAGAGGGCTCCATGGAGCAGCCTGGAGGAACTGCAGAAGGTTTCGAGGAGCAGAATTTCAGGAAAATAACAACCTGATCAAGAAGCTATACTGATGATGATGATGATGATGATATAACTAATATTTGTGCTTTACTGTGTCTTGGACCGTACCTTATAATTTAATTCTAACAACAATCTTTTGAAGTAGATTTTTTTGCACATAAACATTCTTTTATGATAGGCCAGAACATCTACGTTATCCCAAGAAAACAGATGCAAATTAGTATTAAGGGACATCCTTACCTAAAATTACAAAAATAAGTGTATATATAGATATTTAAATCCTTTTATTTCCATTCTATCCTTTAGCTGAATTTTTTCAGGCAGGCGGCGGAACCACTGAGCTAAATCCCTGGCCCTGGCTCAATTTTATTAATATCTGCCCTTCTTAATCCTTCTCTTATAAAAGGCATCACTACCCTGTCACTCAATCAGGATGTTTAGTCTTAATTTCATATTCCAGCTTGTACTGAATGTAATCCAAATCAGAGTCAGCTTTCTGGAACATTAATTCCAATTTATCAGCCTCTGCCTCCACGTTGAATAGTTCTGAAGTAGATTATTTGAAAGCCAAAAGGCTACTTAGAAGTGGAGCCTGGATTTAAATTCAGGTAGCCAGGCTCCAAAACCTGTAGTCAGAGAGCTCCTCTTTTCAAAATACTTTCTTCCTCTAGGTGAAAGTTGCCAAAAGTATTTAACCAAACCTCCGAGCCCCAGGCACACCCAAAAGTTCAAAGAGAATATGATGAACATTAATAACACAGGTGGATCATAAACACGGGACCAATGATGACACTTTAACTTCAGATAACAATTCACAGTAAACACAGTAGGAACTTTACAGGGAACACAAATTAAATAGTAGGAACATGAACCAAGCCCCCATGATGCTTTTTCTGTGCTGATTTGGAGCCTGATATCTGTGTTTAAGTTACCTGGGGGGCACGGCCTCTCTTTCTGTCTTGCAGCTGCCCCTGAAGTTTCTCTATCAAAGGGATGGCAAAGGAGAACGTCTTCCCCGTGCCTGTCCGCGCCTGTGCAATTAAGTCTTTCCCACTATAGACGTGGTGAAAGGTCTTTGCTTGTATAGGAAACAGGAAGGTCACCCCACGAGCTGTGAATAAATCAATCACATTATCCATATTGCAATTCTTTTTTGGGGCTGGTGGTGCTGGGAATCGAACCTAGGGCGTTCTGCACGCGAAGCATACAACCTGCCACTGAGCTACACCCTCAATCCTGACAAGTGCAATTCCTGAAACACCAGCACATCCAAGGACTGAAGCACACTCATGTTTGTAGTCCTGAAGAATATAGGTATTCTACTTTTTGGGTGATATCTACAAAGTCAGGTTCAAATACATTCTGGATGAATCTGTCTGACTGAAAAATATATAACTTTAAAGTGTTAAATTATAGTAAATATTTATTATCTTGAGATTAAATCACTTATCCTAAAGTCTCAGGACAACATGAACCTGAAAATCTGCTGCTTTGCAATCCAGACTGTTCTGCACTTGATTAAATACCTAGTGGACTACATACCTGATTCACAGCAGGATGCAGAGTTCTGAGCCAGCCTGGTATCACTAACGCAGAGGTGATTCATGTATAAGAAAGCATTAACATGGGATTGACTGGTTAATGTTACCAGTACCATCAGTCATTATACTTTGGAATGTAGAATAAATTTTAATTTCGAGGCAGCTAAAGCTATCACTATCACAGTCCTATTCTGAATATACTGGTCTAATTCATTATTACATGGTTGCATATATTGTTCTACCATAACAATGTGCCCTGGTTCATCTGAACAAAAATGCTAAAATGCTTCCAAATAATATGTCCTCTAACATTACATAATATAACCAAGAATATTACCTTTGAGAAGCTTAACAGTCTCTTCAGATATGGGAAAATTAGAGAAAGCACCTTCTTTTTGTTCCACAGGTATTTCCTATAAGTAAAGGACCATAGCAGGAAGTCAATAACAGAGATTAATAAAAAAAGGCCTAGGGCTGGGGATTTAGCTCAGTGGCACAGTGCCTACTTGCCAAGAGTGAGGTCCTGAGTTTGATCCCAGTACGAAGAAAAAAAATGTGTATATGAAAGGCCTTGTGAGAAAGAAACAACCTATTCTAAAACAACTCTTCTAAACACATCAGTTTAAAATTAACCAAAAAGACATAAAACTTTGGTATAGGTCAAAATGTGAAAAAGGAAAACATATCGTAGTAATTTATAAAACCCTACCAAAAGAAAATTGTAGCAAATACATACTGCACATATACTACGTGCGATTAGTAAAGGCAGATTTCAGTTTCAATTAAGAATTACCTTATACATTCCAAACAAACAGTACTGTTGAACAGGTCATTAGCCCCTTTTCCATAGCAACATCCCGCATACCGATCAACAGAAAACAAGGAACAAATGTTTATGAAATAGTGGTCACCATGGCATTTTATTTATTTATTTTTGGTACCGAGGATCAAACTCGGGACCTTGTGCTTGCGAAGCAGCCACCAGAACCACTGAGCTAAATCCCCGGCCCTCCATGACATTATTTAACAGTAAAAAACCTAAACAATAACAGGAACAACTAAATGAATCTCTAATGATTTATATGATGCATTATGTAACTGTTAAACATTTTAATATTTAAAAATGTGAAAAATCCTTATATAAAAATGTGAAGGCAGGATATATTATATATGGTATAACCCTAATATGATTTAAAAGTAACATATTATACTATAAAGCAACATAATTTAACTACAGGTTACCTCTATAACTGAAAAGTCCTTTAGTATTTACTGAATAAATGAGTAATAAAATTCTAAAGGTGTTTTTTCTTTTTGGTAAATTTATAACTTTTTTATTTCTCATAGATCACGTTTCTTTTATAGTCAGGGGAAAATGTAAATGCTAATCATGACCTATACAAATAGAAAATGTATTAGAACTAAGATATTTCTTTTTTGGCAGCACTGGCTTGAACTCAGGGTCTCATGCATGCTGGACAAATGCTCTACCACTAACCGAGGTACAGTCCAGGATTTTCCTCTCATGACTGAGTTTCTGAATGTTAACAACATTAGGCCCTAAGTAGACATTTAGTCATGTCCAACTCAAATTACCTACTAGTTTAAGCATAAAGATTTATGCAATCAACCAAATCCTTTTCAGTGGTTCCAATGAATCAAAATTTGATGAGACTTAAGAAGGAAGATATGGCCCAATTACACAACTGTATCTCTCCTGTTGATTTCTGACTTGAAAATAAGCAGACCAAGACTTTCTCTAAACAAACAAGACCTGCTTCTTTGAAAGTGAAGCAATGACACTATGCCTAAATAAATAAATAAATAGATAGATAGATTAATTAATTAATTAATTCTTTTTGGTACTGGGAATTGAAACCAGGGCCTCTGAACTGGTCTACATTCCCAATGTTTTTTTTTTGTTTGTTAGTTTTGTCATCCCCACTGGTTTTTTTTTTTGGATTGAACTGGGGTCCCTCTGCTTACACAGCAGGCAGAGAAACCACTGAGCTAAATCCCGGCCCTTGCACTACTTTTATTTAAGTATTCGTAGGCTGTGCCCAAATTTGCAATCCTCCTTCCTCAGCCACCCCCTGCCCAGGTGCTGGGATTATAGGTGTGTACCACCATGCCTGGCTTAACACTATGCTATTTTTGGAGATTTTTTAATACCGGGAATCCAACTCAGGCAGTGCCTTGCGCTTGCCAGGAAGGTGCTGTACCAGTGAGCTACATTCCCGGTCCACTCTATGCTATTTTTTTTTTGTTGTTTTGTTTTGGTTTTGGTACCAGGGATCGAACTCGGGTCCTACTGAGCTAAATCCCCAGCCCCACTCTATGCTATTTTAAAAATGAATTCTCACAGCTGGATGTGGTGTACACCTGTAATCTTAGTACTCTAGAGGCTGAGGCATGAGGATTCCCTGGAGTCAAGGCCAGCCTGAAATACATAGCAAGACTGGGTCTCAAAAGACCAAACAAAAACAAAATGAAAAAACAAAAAAACCCCAAACGAAACAAGATTAATATTCATCCTATAGTTCAAGGTACCCACCCATGAGGTGCTTACATCAAATTTCCTTCTTCTAACAAGATAGCATGAATAGTAATTACCTACTTATTTTTCTGGAACAACCCCACCACCACCACCGGGGATCAAACTCAGGACCTTGTGCTTGCCAGGCAGGTGCGGCAAAACTGAGCTAAATCCTTGGCCCTCTGAAACAACTATTAAAGTCCAACTGTACCTGCTCTATCTCACTGTTGCTTTCTTCACTGGCAGCATCACTGGAGTCAGCTTTGGGATGAGAGAATCCATTCTTCAGTTTGGGGCTTTTCTCTCCAATTTCTCCATTCACTTCCTTTTCTTTTTTCATCTTTTTGGGCTTAGGAGCACCTATGTCTTCTTCAGAAGGCTCCTCATTTTTTATCACTTTTTTGGTTTTAGGAGAGACAACTTTCTTTTCCAGGGGCTCCTTTTGCTTTTTTGTACTTTTGGTTTTAGGGGAAACAACTTCATCTTGAGGTGGTTCATCTTGTTTTTTGGCCTTTTTGGATTCAGAAGGATTCACATCAACTTCAGAAGGTCCTACTTTCTTCTTAACATTTTTAGCTTTGGAAGAAACAGTTTCTTCCTTTCCTTCTGACTCTTCAGTCTTGTTAGATTTTGGCTTCTCCTTTCTACCTTTCTAAAAAATTCATAAAGAAAATACAAACACTGAAAAATGCATCTATATATTTGGATTATCCATCAACAATAAATAAACAATTTTATTACCTTTGAAAACCAAGAGTGCCCCTTAGTAACTACCCATTCAGTTAATATTGGTCAAACCACTGTAAAACCAAATTTTCCTGAGATTTGAAGTGGCTCATGCAACAATCCAACAGGTGCTAAATACCATGCAAAGTGCTGTTCAAATTTACTTCTAATACAAAAGTAAGGGCATACATGTCCACAGATACCTGATGTTAAATAGATTTCCTTCTCCTTGCTAAAATTCCTCAACAGGTAAAACAGATTCAAAACATCTGTACCTACCCCATCTCACAAGAGCAAATGAATTAATAAATAAATTTTATGAGGCAAAAAAAAATTTTTGAATCTATTATCCCATGGTAAAAAAAAAGAAAAAGCCCACATACTAAAAGTCAACAACCTCAAAACCAAATCAGACACAGGCGATGACGGGTGTTAGGTGAAGTTTCTGATCCTCTCCAACTTTTCACGTTACTGAAAACTTAGAATAGACAGATCCTGTATCCCTTTAAAACCTCTCTAGCAGAGCCATAGATCAATCCTAAAGGCATGGAGACTGTATTGAACTAAAATTTGCTTCCTTGAAACCTTGGACCCTGTCTCTGCTCTTAAACCACAGATTAACAGTAATCTCTCTGCCACATGCTCATACTTCAGATTATCTGAAAAATATGCTGTTCTTTCCCCCCAAGACTTCAGTTCTTTCACCCCTCTTTCATCAAATAAGAGATTTCCTATTCTGGGAGGTCGAGTTTTGGAATGGCAAGGTCCCGACACCTTTGGACTTGAACATCCCACAACTGAACACACTTATGCAGACAGTAAACCAACTACATTCCCACCCGTGAGTATCAAGCCTGTGTACTCCCTGAGCTTCCTACAATGCCAAAATATTGCTGTTTTGGGAGCTTCCAATCAAAAAAATCCAAAACAGCAATTAAAAAACATTCTAAGTCCTGCAAAACACGAGTTCAGGAACAATCTTCGTTTTCACAGACTTTATCTCTGAACAGACTTAGCTAAATCTCTACTTAAGGAAGTAACAGTCAAGAATCAAACGGCTGCCGACGTAATTTAGGACCACAGAATACTGCTGGCCTACAGAAGAAATACGTTGTTCAGGTAACAACACCCCAACATGTCACTACACTTCCACGCGAGGAATGGCCAATAAGCACTAAGAGGAACTGAATTACCTCATCTTCTAAAGGCTGCTTATCGAAGACAAAGTGTACTTCCCTTATTACAGGGAAAAGTCACTGGAAATGCCGGCAAGTGCGCAGATGTGTTTAAGATCTCTTTACTCTAACATTTCAGTCCTCACTTTGACTTAATTTATAATCCCCTCTGCGCACACAACGTGAGGCCTAACCGTGAGCGTCCAGTTTCGCGCGCCGGATCTCCCGGGACTCGCGGATGCGTGCGGGCTGAGGAGAGGTCCGCACGCCAAAGCCGTCGGGAGGGCAAGGTGTCCCCTGGCCAGGGCTAGCACCACCTCGGGCATCCGCCGGCCGAGCCCCAGGCCCAGTGTCCGGAAGCCCTGGTCCACGCCGTCTGCCACGCGCTCCCGGCACCGCCACCTTTCCGGAACCCCGGGGCCCCGCTCCTCTTGGCAACCCGGGCCCAGACCCTGCCTTGCCCCAGGTCGCTCGGTATCACCTTCTCGTTTCCTTTCTTTTCCATGGCCATGTCCGATTCCAAACCGGCGTTACTACGGAGTTTTCCTGGCATCACTCAGCACACGCTGCCCAGGTCAACCGGTCTCCTCAACCGCGTGCAAAGAGAAAGAGAGTACAGCCTACTCGGCCCACCCAGCGCCGTCACTTCCGGTAGTGAGGCATTTCAGGCGGAAGCATAGGACACCCGGAAGTCGGTCCCACGTGGTAGTTTCAAAATGTCTGCCTCTGACAGTGGCTCCTCTTATTGAATTGACTGCTGACTTCATTTAGAGTTAGCATTTGGTAGAGTGGAAACGGAGAGTAACACAAAGATTAGCTTTTATGCTCATTCCAACACTGGCTAGATTCTAGCTAGTTTTGCCTGTTAAACGAAGATTTTATTTGCTTTAGAGTGGCATCTGTTCAGTGCTCTTGGATTGCTCGTTTGCAAAGTCCTTTCACGTACGGAAGGATGGTGTTCTTAACCGTCTCGTAGAAACCTTTTACAAGTGACGGCCAAACGCACGAGCCTGAATACGAATTAGAATTCAGAAGGTTCTGGTCGTTCGTAAGTACACCCAGCAAACGTTCCCTGAGCGTTTATTGTCAAGTGTGAGAAACGGCTGGGATTCACTAGCTTTCTCAAGCGTTATGGCCGGGCGATAGGACATGCTCCTGAAATCCCTTCAATTTAGGAGGCCAAGCAGGAGGATTGTGTGAAGTCAAAGTCTGGGAAACAACGAGACCCCGTGGAGGGGAAAAAAAAAAAGACTAATGTGGAAGAGAGAGGTCTGTGGTTGTTTCCCAGGAACAGAGAGTCACCTAACTCAGTCTCGGAACCAGTAAAAGAAGAGCCCAAACCAAGTAGACCTCCATTAAAAACTAATGGGGGGGGGGGGCGCGCGGGGATTTAGCGCGGTGGTTTCGCCGCTGCGCAAGCGCAAGGACCCGAGTTCGATCCCCAGCACCAAAATAAAATAAACTAAAATAACTCAGGTGTGTCACAAGTGTTTGGAAAGAATTCAAAATATATGACAAAGGACAATACTGGAAGATTTATTTCTGTATTTCACGAGATTAGTTCTTATTGAACATTTTAAAATCTGAGAATTTTTGTATTTAATGATAACATGAGAACATTTTTATGATTCCTTTCATACTGAGGTTGGGAGATTAGAAGGCTAGTTGGAGGAAAAGACATGCTGAGAAATCAATGAGGAAGGAAATACCAATGAAGACAAGCAGCATCTCGAGCAGGTTCTTGGGGTTGGCAAGTTGGCAATGAAGGGAATGGAGAGGTGGAATTAGGATTCGTGCAGTGAAGAAAGTAAAAAGGTTCCTCACCAGGCTGAGTGCACAGGCACGATGAGCCTGTCTACAGTGAGCTTCTAGGTAAGCAGAAGGCGAGGTAGGTTGTAGAATTCTTGTGAAATGGAGCATAATTCAAAGCTGTGATAGTCCCAGAAAGAGGGAGTTTATAGCAGGGCACTCCTCACCACCACTCACTTCCAAGAGACTCTGGGAGAGCACTCGACTAGGCTGACAAATCTAATGAACCACACAACTGAGTTGCAGTCAACCAACCGACATGATTAGGTTGTAAGTGGAGGTCGATGAACAAAGCTGTCATGGGGCCAACATCCTCCTGGTAAGCTGCCCAAACCTTGCAGACTGGCTCCTTTTCCTACCAGTCCCAGCGCTTGCTGCACTTTATATCATACTGCTGGTTCTGGGAAGGTAACTGTTCAATTAATGCCAGTGCTAGCTGGCATCTATAGCACGTTTTTTGAATATTTTAGTACTGTATTTATTCTACATCCACTCCATCATCACCTTGCCCCTGCCCCCAGGGTAGCCTTGTAGCATCTTTCACATGTACTTGTATTTCACATGTAAATGCAGCTTCTATTATAGCATACAGCCTTTGACTCTTAAAATCTCAAAAAGGGCCGGGGATTTAGCTTAGTGGGGCCACACCTGCCTTGCAAGCACAAGGTCCTGAGTTGGATCCCTGGTACTGAAAAAACAAAACAAAATAAAAACAAAACATCAAAAATTTAGGGGCTGGGGCTGGGGATTTAGCTCAGTGGTTCCACCACCTGCCTCACAAGCACAAGGTCCCGAGTTCGATTTCTAGTACAAAAAAAAATTTAGGATCCAGGAGAAATAATCAGAAGGCTGTAAAAATAAGACCAGGGAGAAAAGGTTAAAGAAGTTGAGATTATTTATCTTTAAAAGACTGGTGACTTAATAAGTGTTCAATGGACTAAGAGCTGTTTTCTGAGGTTATTAAAAAAAAAATTGGTTTGGGAATTTAGCACAGTGGCACTGTGCCTGCCTGGCAAGCACAAGGGAAGTTCAATTTCTGGTACCAAAAAAAAAACAATCACCAGCTCCTAAAACACTCAGTTGGCCAGCAGGCTCCTGGCTTTTTTACAAGAAAGGATTTTGATGTTTCATTTATCCACTTACCTTGGAGATTGTTAGTGTGGCAAATGAAGAGAATGAGGTAAAGGGAAAGCAATTCCATTCTTCATCCTAGAACCCTTGGGAGTAAACCTTAACTAGCAGGAAATAAAAAATGTTTAATGTGGAGTTGGGGCTGCTTACAGTATATGGAATTTCTGAGCCCTCAAAATCACTTGATTTCCTTTGCTTCCCTTAAAATGGAGATGCTTAAGAACAGAGCTGCCCATCTTGTCCCCCATTCATTCCTCTGGTGAGAGCTGGGAGTGACTAGGCTAGGAGTAGCCACCCATCATGGGGTTTCCTTTGGTGTGAGTGATGCAGATGGCAAGATCATGGCATGCGCATATCCAACTCCAGCATGACACCTGGGTCAAAGGGACTTCTGGAGAAAGGTTGGTTGAACTGGATTGAATATTCAGACTTTCCAGTTTTTGAATGAGATTAAGAAAGATACTAAATTTTTGAAGCAGTAGCTTTCAGAAGCAGGTCCTAAATCGAAGCCCTTGACTGGCTGGGGTTAAGTACAAAGTTGTCAAGGTAGGGAAAACTGTTGGAAATTTCTAACAGAGTCTTGCCTTGAAACAATTTGTTTCAGCTTTGCAAAGAAAAGCATTGTAGCTTGCAGATATCCAGAAAATGAGAGTTGGTTTTTCTGTGTATTCCCTAAGGAACAAGTGATGCCATCAAGTTTGCTTTTACATAGACCTACAGTGACAAGGTAGAAAAGCGAAGTGATTTTTTTTTTTGTACTGGGGATCGAATTCGGGACCTTGTGCTTGCGAGGCAGGTGGCAGAACCACTGAGCTAAATCCCCAGCTTCAAAGAATCAGCAAAGTGATTCTTTGGCTAGGGTCACCTGGTGTTCCAGGTTGAGTTGTATTCCCAAAAGATGTTGAAGTCCTAACCCCCAGTACTTAAGATAAAATCTGAGAGTTTTAAGTTTCATGTAAGCTATTATTTGATGTTTCAGTTTTAAAAATTTAGGGCCCGGGGATTTAGCTCAGTGGTTCTGCCACCTGCCTCACAAGCACAGGGTCCCAAGTTCTATCCCTGGTACTCCCCCACAGAAAAAGAAATACATTTTTCACAATTTAAGTAAATGTGCAATAACTTTAACTTACACTCTGTGATATCCTTGAGTCAGAAACCTTGATGTATCCATCTTTGTATCCTCAAAGTTTCAGACAGTGCTTGGCACACAGTAGTCTGTCACTAAATATTTATCAGATATTAACATGGCAATGGTGGGGGGAGCTGGAAAAAATTACAACTAGATGCTCAGGCAAGAGAGCACATCATCCACCTTAGTACTTGGAAGGAGCAAGAGCGAATGCAACCAGCAAACTGACAAAATGCTTGGATTTTAGTATTGTACCAAGGACTTTGGAGTACCTCAAGACCCAGTCCCTGCCATAATGAACCTGCAGTCTAGGTGATAAACCAGAAAACCACATGATACTTACTGCTCCTGTACAAAACATTGCTGTACAAAGTACACAGATATGTTTATTAACAGATGTTCAACATGAGAGTAAGCCCTGGAACACTACTAAGTGGAAAATAATTGTCAAAGCTTATAAAGTATGTAAGTTTCTCTGCAACATATCTGCAAATAAGCACAAGCCCAAAATTCCAAAAAAATGCAAAAGGCCTTTTTGTGCTCAAAGGTGGCCAAATTATCATATTTTGTACAGACAGCAATACAAAATTCAGGTAAGTGATTTAGTAAGGATTTAGCTCAGTGGTGCCACCGCCTGCCTCACAAGTACAAAATCCCAAGTTCAATCTCCGGTACCCCCCCAAAATTCAGTTAAATGAAAGAATTAAGTCACATATATTTGACAGGAAATGTGAAGTTCTGCTTGATTATCAATTCTGCTAGACCAGATTCTTCTGATCTAGATGTTGTGCTATTTTTTCATAAAATTAGAAAAGAATTTCTATTTTAAAAGTATGTACAAATACATGTGCGCACACACATTGAAATCGAAAGTTTACACAAAATGTTAGCAGTAGTTATCTCTGAGTGATGTGATTTGGGTGGTTTTTATTTTCTTCCATCTGCTTCTCTGTTTTTTTTCAGATTTTCAACAATGGACATGTATTACTTATAAGAAAAAGGAGTATGGATTTTAAAAATTATTGTTAAGCACTACTCCTAAAACACACATAATAAAGCTCTGAGACATTCATACCTAATGTATATTCATTATTCCAAATCCTAATGCTGAATATAATAAAACATGTTAATTTTATTTACAAATTCAAAACTAAAGACCAAAGTAACTGATTCAGATTGAAGCAGCTGTTGAGTGACCATACTAGAGAACTCAGTACCAAACTGGAGGCCAAAATCTGAAATCCATATAGCTGCTGGGTTCTATAAGGAAGGACCAGAACAAAGCTAAGTAGCTGAGTGCAGCTCAAAACTGAGAAAGAATTCAATTGGAAACTTTCCCTGCCCAATCCTTTCACAACTATGGGAAGCTATTACTTGATCTTGTTAGGACCCCTGCTGATAGGGAGGTGACCTTAAATCCATCCAGCTTGCTGGCATTTACCTCCACACTTATCTTTCTCACTCTCCTCTGAAATCCTTCAGTGGCTGTCCAAAATAACCTTCCAAGATACAACTCTTACCTGTTCTCACCACTATTTTCCTCAGTGAAGTTCCCAGCAATAAGAGCTAAAGTATGGTTCCCCATAATTTAGACCTTTTTT